GAAAAATTTTTCGATTACATCTTTAACTTCTATTCAATTAACTTAACTAACAGTAAATAGTCTTTATTTTTGTAAGACTATTTATCAAAATCTTCTCCAGAATTCATACTAATCTTTACTATTAATCAAATCTGAAATGTTTAGAAAGTAAATCATTAAGGAGTGATTACATAATTATAATATAATTTCATATTTTTTGGATGGTTACATAATACTTCCATTAAATTCTAATCTATTTCATTAATTTACATTGTTATTACTTATAATAGAATATTCAATAAGAGTATTCAACAAGAGTTATTTCTCATGAAACTGATTGAAACTTTTCATATTAATGTTCATACAGTTTATCTATATACATAAGTAATGAATTCGGTTTATGACTGAAGGAGAGGTTAAAGGTCAACTAATAATTTAAGTGTAATTAGAGAATAATTACGTTGTAGTTAATTATGTTTAATTAATCTCTATAAGCTAACAATACAGTTGTAATACTTTGTAATAGATGCATTAAGTGATTCATTTTACTGGATTTAAGTATTGATCATTAAACGTAATCAAATCATACTAAATATTGTGATAAACTGTGATCATATTGAGCTTTTTAGTTCAGGTAGATCAAATGATTAAATATTGTAATATGGATGTAAATGTACTGATAAACATCCTATACCTTCCAATATGTGGTTATGAAGATTGTTGAATGTCATTGAAATCATGAACCGATCTACGTTAGAGCACTACTGAAAACGTGGAAACACCAGATAACTATTTCATCCTAATATGGGTTTCTGATTTCAATTATCATATATTTGTTTTCCTTGTATACATACTAGGTTTTTACATTTTTCTTAAAATACCAGAGACATCTTTTAATGAGAGTCATTTATGATGAAATATGTCTCCTTTATTTATTATTTAACATTTACTATTATATATATTGTACTATGTTATTAACATAATATACCTAACTGGTCTTAAGGATAAATCACTTTCATTGTTAAATAAACAACATTATCCCCCTTTTATCCATTTATATAATAACTGAGTTGTTAGTTAGGCGTATACATCTGTCCATGCATGCACACTTTTAATTTTGCTGATTTTGACATACAGTGTTATTGTTTTGCATGAGATCATCAACAGTGTGTAATAAACATATTTATTGATTCGTTAAATGTTATCGCACTAGTTTTAACTAATGCATGTGTATGTGATCCACCTTTTATTGTTTAATGTTTACAAAAATTAATACGAATGCATAGTGTATTTGCTTTGATTTCATGCATGTCTATTGTCTAACCTTCTCACCCCTTCTCTCTTGGTTCTGCACAAATGCAATAACAAAACGTTGCTGGTTTACAACCATGGATTCTTGCATGCAACATTCTATGTTTGTTAATTACGATTTGTCTTTATGCGGGTGGTACATCATTAAATTTATTTTCACTTGGTTGGTTGGTATGGCGGCAAAACTCGTGTTTTATCTCACTGGTTGAGAATGGATTTTAGCAACAGAAAAAACGACTTGTATCAAAATCATATCATCTCCATAAACGCAGGTCAGATTTTGATTCTTGCATCAATATTGCACCAAATGTCAACGGACAAACATCTACTACTGCTGCTAGATACCATTCAGACAAAACTAAAAATGATAGATTTCATGATGAGATTGTACGGTTCAATGATGGTGAAAATGATGATACTGATATTGAGGAAAATGAAATTTCACGCGTAACGCGTAGATATCGCAATACAGTTAATATTCTTAAATGTGTCCGTTACACTGGAACATTCCTATCATTGATATATTTACTTGTAAAGCTCTTTTATTTGTGTAATTCAGTTGGCCAATTATTTTTAATGCAATACTTCCTCGGTTTTACAAACTATAATTCTAGTTTATTTGGCATGAGTATTTTATATAATATACTACATGGTCAAGATTGGCGATCAACCTTAATATTTCCACGTGTAGCTTATTGTTATGCACCAGTAAAACACTTGGGTACAAAAGTTAACACTGCTACAGCTCAGTGTGTCTTACCGGTAAATATGTTAAATGAAAAAATTTACATATTTCTCTGGTGGTGGATTCTATTAGTTTGTGTAGTGAATTTTCACAGTCTACTTCGATGGTGTTTACAATTCGCCTGCCAAAATCGTGGCTGTCAGTTTGTGATAAACTACATTAAACTGTCGAATGTTTTAACTTCATCCGAATTATATTTTGCTGAGAAATTCGCACGTAAATTCTTACGACGTGATGGAATGTTCCTGCTACGCATGCTTGCATTGAATGCTGGTGAAATGGTCACGTCTGATATTGTCAATGAAATGTGGTTGAATTACCGTAGAATTGTCATTGAGCCGGTGGTTGAAAATCATAAACATCATAGTCAGAGATTAAATCCTAATGAATCTAGTTTGGATAGAGGGTCAAAAACTGATTCTTCAACTATAACAAATGAAAATGGATACTTGGGTACATCTGAGTCATCAGCACTAAAGAATAATAAACAGGATAATGAGAAAGCGAGTATTGAGCTGATAGATCTACCTGGAAGATAGTCCTATGTTTAAATAATGTTTCTTTATGTATGCATGTGTTTGTTTTTGGGTTTTTAGTTTCTCAATTTAATTTCGAATAAATGATATGATTGAGAGAAACCAAACTACCGGTGACTTGAGAATGTTTAAGACCAAAACGCTTCTAATTTTTCAGATTTTCCTTTCAGTTTGTGCCTTCTTTTTCGTTAAATGCATTTTTCATTTCCATCGTCCATAACAAGACGATGACTAAGATTATAATAATATTAATTTTATGAGACTTATTGACGTGCATCATGCTGACGATGTCATTATTACTACTAAAATTGTTATAAGTAGCCATTTTTGCCAAATAAAAATATAGAATACATTGGATTTTTTCATACTATAATGAAAAAATAACAAATCAGATTTACTTACTTTTCTTTATTGTCTTAAGAGAGAGGGACTTTCACATCAATGCGTTTGTTGAACATTTGATAACATTGCACTTTCAGTTTGACAATATGATGTATACATGCACTTAAAGTCATTCTTTTTGGTAATTTAAACTAGTTAGTGATAATTCATGTTGTTTTACGATATATCTGGGGATGAATCAATTGGTAACAAGTGTAAATTTTTGGCTTTTGCATGTTGGTGAACTAGTCAACATCATTCATTTTTATTTAGTGAAATAAATGTTTTGCTTGAGGACGAAAATGTATCTTCACTTCATAAAACTAACTTCTCGACCACTTTTTATGTAATTCACAATGGTCATAAATGCTATGGTATAAGGCTATTATTCACCAACTTATGTTTATCACTTAAACCAGTATGAAATAAGATATTTACACAATGGTGATCTTAATTAGAGACTTCATAAAATCGCGAATTAATTGAAGTCCGAAACATGGACAGCTAGATATCTCTACGGTGGGTTAGCAGTATTAGGCTCACCAAAGCTACTTGGTGTTTCTTGGTTTGAACATACAGATGACTATGGACACGAAAGAGTACCAAGATCTTTGGTTTAAATGGATCAGTTGTTGACGGAAATCGCTTTCAGAATACACAAAACCACATTAAGCAAACTTATTTATGAGTTGGTTTAGTACTGTACGTTTAAGTGTCCCGGGCTTGTTAACAACCAGGTATAACTTCCACATATTCCACTATAACAATCATCTTCATAAATCAGTGAGATAAATTGTATATACACAGCATTTTTCATCTGTCTATACCTCATGTGCACTAGTTCATTCAATATTATGATTACTCAGGCTATTGTTTGAAAAAAATGTATCAAACAAAACACTAACATAATGCCACTTCGTTGGTAGGCTATTAATATATCTGAAAGGGTACTATAAACATACAGAATTAGTTTGCTTGTAGTCTTCTCTCATACACATGCAACTCACGAAATAGACGCTATAGTGACTAAACCTATGCATATCAACCAATGAAATTATCAGTTCGCCGTATTCAGTCGAAACTTAGAACAGCAATTGTTATTCAGATTGCAATTCCGAGCTCTGGATTTTTCAACAAACCATTTGCATATTGGGAGGGTCTACTTATCAACGACAACAGAAAATGGGTCATTTTGTACTATTGATTTACTAATCCATTAGAAAATCGAGTGTTAGGGAATTCCGTTACGTGGATATTTACTATTGAGAATGTTTTATGATCTAGCGTATAAACCTAGCCATACCTTCATACAAAACTCAGGCTCAGCTGACAGTGAATCAGTAATCAATTTGGAAAATGTTACTTTTAGATATACAAACCGAAAAAGTTACATTAAACCACTGTGTAGTACGACTACTTTTTAATTAATAAGGTGTAACCATTCGAATAATAGGTTGTATTAATCATAAGTGCATTAAATTTTCTCCGCTTATAGATTCCATTACTATTCATTTTTAGATGATGATAGTTAATAATGAAAACGATGAGAAAATTTTTGTCTTGTCTGAAGCGTTCCAGTTGAAATTATCATGATTTCAATAATTTTTTTTGACTTAAGTCTACTGTTTACTACTCCAAAATATCGAATGTATTATGGTGGCTCGCTTTCTATGATAATATACTAGACATAATTCACATGATTAAACTGATGATTTTAGTCATAGAATCAGTCATATACAAAAAAACAAAACAACTAACCGACTGACTGAGTGCAATAATATGTACCATGCTGAACAAAATATACAATCAAATTAGAATAAAAATGACTTATTTGTCAGTCAACCAGCCGATAGTAGATGATGAAATGAAGGTCGCAAAGTAACCACTGGTTATTTGACTTTATCAATCATAACGAAATGCTTGATATTACACGAATATTCAGTGAAATATCCCTTATTTTGCATTACATTTAACCCTAAAAATTTTATGTATTCATTTTTTTTGCAAACATAAATTTCATCTAGGATTTTTCTGTTTTCTATATTTAGCAACGTGAATACCATCATGGATTATGGCCTCGAGTACGTCGTCGAATGAAAAAATGGGGTTATTTATTCTTCATAAGTAAACGTCTTGGGACACGATTATTTGGAATTTATTTATTCATTAAATGTCTTTATTTATTAAATGCAATCGGACAAATATTTATGATGCAATCATTTCTTGGTTTAAAATCAAATTATACATTATTTGGTATAACTATATCTAGAAATATTTTATCTGGTCTCGATTGGGAAGTGACAATGATTTTTCCACGTGTTGGATTTTGTTTAGTTCCATTAAAACATTTTGGATCTAATAATTATGCAACAGCACAATGTGTTCTACCAGTAAATATGCTTAATGAACGTATTTATATGTTTCTATGGTTTTGGATTGTTCTCACTGCAACAATTACAGCTATCAGTATACCAGCGTGGTTTACACGTATGAGCTATGAAAAATCACGTACACGTTTTATAAAAAAATATTTAAAACTTGGTGAACAAGTTAGTAGGAAAGATAGATATATGGTAGAAAAATTTACCGTATTATTTTTACGTAATGATGGTGTTTTTCTACTGCGTATGATTGCTATCAATGCCGGTGAATTGATTTGTTCTGAAATAGTTTGTCAATTATGGCATATATTTCGTGAAAAATATTTTTATCGTGATTTAACACGTTGTAAACGTGGTTGCGATGAAATGCATCATTTAGGCTTGAGATTATCTCGTGGTATTGTCAATTTAAAAGAAAGATATTCCAAAGAAAATAAACAAATTAAATTAGAAGCTACAGCTTCAGCACCTCCACTTACTGATGCCCCTCTTGGAACAGATGAAGACGAAGGTGGTTACGCTGATGATGATGAAGATGAACAGAAAGATATAAAAAAACATTATAGCAAAAAATATTCATGGGAACAAAAAGAGTCCGTTTGACTATATTATTGTTAACACACATATCGTCACCTGTAACAGTCATAAACGTTGCTTTGAGATGTACAGATTACATATTCAGCTCATTTTTTTATAAACATTTTTTAATGAAAAATATTTATTATTTTTTTGTTACATTTGCTATTTATTAGTGAACTTATTGAAGATATCTGATGAGTTATCTTTAGTTTACTCTCCTTTTTCTTGTGTTCACTCAAGAAAACAATTTCCCCTTATTGTACAGTTAACCTTCTCATTGATTATGTTTTCTTTTTTTTTTAATTGATCGAGAGTTTATGCATTTACGTAAATCATTTGTAATTAAATTATTCATCGTTATACTTTAGATATCGGTATTATTATTGACTAATAAAGGTTCTCTATGAAGAAATACATTGAGAATATCATGTAAGCGATGTCCTTGGTTATGTGCCGATCACTAACTAATCGCAAAATTTATCATGCCCTAAATGAAATCCATTAAAGCTTACTAAAGAATTTTTTCTAATCGATCTGTGATAAGGGAAATAAGTATATAATGAAAAAGAAGCTGATGAGTAATTTACCACAGTATGACACTGACTAACTTTCTAAACTGATCTGTGATTGTATTCATGTACTTTATTAAAAGGAATGAAAATGTCTGTAGCATACAAACAAATGTAATTTGAACTTGATAAATTATCAAACCTTATGTGAATTAGTTGATATAATTTTGTTCCATTCGTGTCGAAATACAATAGTAAAGGAAATTTATTCTTTGAATTTCTTCCACTTAGTATTAATTGACGAAAAGAGATCATAGATGAGGAGGGTGTCAGTAGCAGATGTCAGTAGTAAGCAAACTACGATTAACACAGATGCTGAATTGAAGGTAAATTATTCATCATAAATAAGCTCTGGATAGATGGCTATAATGGTAGATTAACCTCTCTGAAAAATAATTTATCTAACTTCTAGTAACTTTATAGTTGAACATTATTCAAACACAATCTGTACAGTATATTAATTGAGAAATTAATTTCAAACTTTGGACTAAGAAATCAGGATATCATAATTATTTAACTCACGGAAATTTTAATGATACTTCTCTCAAAATAATATTAAGTTATTAATATCCTTGTTGTTTTCAGTTGCTGCAAAATATGGTCACTTCAATCGGTACATTACTGTACTAAGTTCATTACATTTATGGTTATCTGTATGTATAAATACTGAAATGATTTCAACTGGTTCATGCTATTAATTTTAGATGGTAGTTCTGAAGTTTAAGACTTACGATTTATCTTAAATGTAGTCCGATAATGCTATTTAAGCCTTTCAACCATGAAAAAAGATAATTTAATTGAAAATACGCCTTTGAAAAATGTTGTCAAACAATTTGTCGAACCAAGATTGACCAGTTAAATGGGTTATTCATGCATCTTACTGAAATAATGATACTTATTGACCAAGTACAAGCTAGTGAAACTCACTTTGAGTTACACTTTATGCGTGAGACCGAGCGATACTATCTATGTGTTTAGATTAAAGTTCGAATGAAACAATTAATATACGTCGAATTCAGGAGCTTCGTTCGGACGGTGAAATTGCAGAGTAAAATTAAGTACGAAAACTACGAGCAGTTCACAGTACAAATCAGAATATTAACTCATGTGTACACATCAATTCAACTTACGAAGAGACTATGATATGAGATCTATCGCCCAACAGCTGTAAAAAATCAAAGAAAAGCTACCGTATATAACTCATTATATGTGAAAATTATATTTGAAATAATCTCAGTCTCGCGCGCGAACGCCTAAGCTACTAGACCACTGAGCCGGCATCTCATGGTGTTGATTGCTTAAATAATCGTTTTGTACAACTGTATTGTTTTCTGATTTGTTATCATAAATAATAGGCTAAATAACTGTATACGGGAATGCTATGTGTCAAAAAAGTTTTATTTTTTATTTTTCTGCCCCTTAGAATTTGGCTTATTTGATCGGTTATGTGTTTGTTTAACTGAAACGTTTGTGAAATAGTATAGAACTAATAAACCTAATATTGTAAATAATTGTATATGATGAATTTATAATAGAAACGTATTAAGGACAACTTAAGTAATTTGATGACATAAAAAGTATCTGACGAAACAAGCGATATGTGGTAGTGAAAGTAAAATATGATTGATTGTTGAGTGTGGATAAACAGCCACAGCCTATGGACTATCAGTTATGTAATTTTTCCCTTCTTACCATTGATTTCTACTCTCAACTCACTGCTTGTAATTATATTGAATAAAGTCTTCTCGAGTGTTAGATCGGTACTTTAATTTATGTCACGAATTCTAGTTCTAATATGATATGATTGACCTTATTAACGTATCATTGTAATATACGTGTGAGAGGGAAAATAATATTGTAAACCATTCGTTATATAAACAAGTGATAACGTTTTCTCACTAAATGATATATCAAAAGAAAAATAGAATACACAGAAAACTAGATGGAAATAATCAATATGAGAAATCATATAATCACATAACTGAAGTATGGAGAAGTTCCTTGAAATAACCAAACTACAGTGAAATGAGTTAAGTACATTAGTATTATTCATTAAATAAGAAAAAAGAGAATTCAGCGAAGAAAATTTTTCTTTTCGACGAAATCATTTACTTAAGCTGTACATTCATATATATAGTTATATGGAAAATGTATGTCTATGGGAGGATAGAAAAAATTGCATCACCAAAATGGATTCGAAGATAAAGAGCAAACGACGTTACGTACTAATCAAGGGGTAAGGAAGAAAATCGTTTATGGGTCCGATAATAGACCATTCAGTGAGATATGTTCAAGAAGTTATGTCTGCATTCAATTATGTAAGTTACATTTTTAATTAAATGCTGTTGACAATGGTAACAACAAGTTATTTTTAAGGAGGATAATATATTCTGGTGTCGAAATCATTAAATTTTAATAAATTTAAAGAATTTTAAAATATTCTTTTTAACTAATGAAATATTCTGAATTATGAGAAGTACAGAAGCTATAAAATTTCGCTTGGAAGAACGAGTGTGGATCCCAACCAGATAAGAATATTACGAAATGCTTGTTTTTGAACCACTATCAGCCAATGAATAGCTGTCCTATTTTTATTTGGATTACATGAGTAGTCTTATGCAAGTTATATCCAAATCTATTTTGACTGAAGTTATCCGTAACGCATTTATGTTCAAGTAAATTGTTATATTTAGTGCCTACAGTCACTTCTGAGTTCATTAAGTGCGTGAGCGCTGCTAAGTCATGTCATTTTCACCAGAGATTTCATTTAAAGCCTTAACTTTCAACATATTTTTGCTATTTATCCTTCATGTTCGGCTGAGATATACTGACATATCCGTAGTAGACGATTTCTGATAACTTTAGGCATTTGAAATGAAATCTTTATTGAAAATTATGCTCCAACATAAAGTATTTATTAACCAAATGAACGTAAAAGAGGCCGAAAGTGGTGAACATCACGTACTTCTTGAAAATTGAAAACGTAGATGAAATCCTTAGCTTATGTATTCTCTCCTGTTCCATTTCTCGATTCATGTTTCTGATTGATGGAAAATGAATTGAATGAGAAGGCCGGATCAGGAGGGAAGATATGTTAACTCTGTACCCTGAATAAAACTAAGTCTGTGACCTAGATGTTCTGAATCATTATTTACTCCATATACTATAACCATTGAAAATGACAGTCGTTCAATCATCCGATATATTGGTTTATTCTGATTTTAATTGTTTAGTTGTTTCTAGTAATAAAAATTATTATTCATATTAACTTCCTTTGAAGAACCTGCCTACAGATGAGAAAATAATTCTGGTTTGGCTCTGAATTTAATTGGAAACTGCAACTAACTTAAATTTCTCCTAGTCTCAGATGGCTTACCTCTACTTATTTTTATGACTGTTTAATTATAGTCCCAAATTTTTGTGTTAAAATGAAGGTATTAAAGGTAATTGAATTCCACAATTGTGGAAAAGTGATGATCTATATACAAACAACAATCTCGAATAAAACGTTATAAATATTTAACAATCACTAAAGGATTCGAGAAAGAGTTAAATATAAAGTGGATAAAATATTCTTATTCATAACAAAACAAAAAGAAATACAAAATTAAATATACGTGACTTGAACAGGTGGATTATTCTGTTTCGGTATGATTGAACGCCGGTGGAATTTCGGTTATGGAATAACCAAACTAGAGACTAGCTCAAATACAATAAATAATGCTCATCTTATGCTTACAGGTAACTGAAACATTATGAAACTAGAGATGTTTGCTCTACCATACTGGTACTTTCATATACTAAATTCTATGAAGATTGATTTACAAATATATGTTAAACTCTATTTGAAAATTTGTTGTTTGTAAAATATTACTAATTGCAGGCAATAACTATGAATCTAATGAAATAAAATGAATTCATTTGATTGATTAAGAGAATGTGCATTACACTTCTTATGATATTATTGACTTAGTTCTGATTAGTCCGTGTTAGAATATGTAGATAATGGTGTGAACATCGACACTAAGATGCAGATATATCCGGCCGAAGAGTCTCAAATATGGCGAAATGCTTGTGGTGTATCCCGCTCCTAGCAACAGTTCATGTATTCTATAAAAATGCATTCATGTTATCATATAGAAATCGTTGCTATTTGCTCTCTTAAGGTTTTATTTGTATTCGGACACTGACGAAAGTGCAATAAATTACCTAACTATACCACGTTACTAATAACATTAATTTTTAAGGATAAAGATCTTTGCATTTCATTTTTTGAATGGCTCTATACTGATTGAATTCCAATTGGAATTATGATTAAATTAGGTTGTAATGATGTGATGACGTTGAAACATGGTCTTGTAACAGTATGAATTTAAATAAATCCGTCAAAAACTAGCTTCATCAATAATCCAGTAAACACATTGGAATAGCACTCATCATAACATATGAAAGAATTACGTTTAATGTTGTATAATATATTGGATTTACTTTTTGGGGGATTCTTTAAGTAAAGAAGAAGGTTTCCTCTAGTAATTTTTACTTCCAATTAGTTTACAGATGACTTCACTAATTCATACCACTTAATTAAATCCCAATATCTCCTTTATAGATTTTCTACTTCCAAGTAGAAACTATGAGAATCAGCAATCTACTAGTTGTTAAGATGATAATATGTTTTCCAGTACTTTTAACTGAAATAGTTGAAATGGCTTGTTGACTAAACAAGAAATCAAAAGTCAGACTAGTCACCAAATTGCAATTGATCTATGAAATTCGACCTACTCTAAAAGATAAGGCAAAAAATCCAATTAATAGCTATTCAGTGGTTAATCAATCGTAGGATTCTCAGTCCGACAGATCGGTCACAACCATCTAGCTCAGTCGTAATGTATCAAGATGTGTAGCTGAATGTGGTGGGTTCCAGTTCTACAGGGGGGATGAAAAGTTCGCTTTGCT